GATACTTTGAACTCAGTGGCCGTTATAAGATCGGCTTATGGAGCCAAGAACATAAATTGTTTGAATTTTGAGGTAACTAAAAAGCATTTAAAATTACATAATTCAGATAATTTATATAAGAAATGATTTTATTGTTAATTTCATATAATATTTTATTACTGTTTTATTTGTATTTCATTTTTTACTATTTTTTACTATTGTTTACATAATTTTCATTTAATTTTTTATTGTTTTCATACCATACAAGTGATAGTTACATATCTGTAACATATGAGTTTATAATATAATAATGTTTATAAATTATATTTGTTTGTTAATTTCATACTTTTATTACTTTTTTATTTATCTATATTATATACGAGTTGTATTGTAGACTGAAGTAATTAATATCTAAGTCTTACAAGTAAGAGTATTACTATTTACTACTATTGTTTACATAATTTTCATTTAATTTGTTATTGTTTTCATACCATACAAGTGATCGTTACATATATGTATCATATGAGCTTATAATATACTAATGTTTATATTTGATTGTTTAATTTTATATTCTTGTTATTGTTTTATTTTCATTTAATTTATATTTTTTTATACAAGTGTTATATCATATAAAATGTAACTAGAATATATAATATATCTAATAATATTTTTTTAAATTATAAATTATTACAAGATGGAATATTGGAATATTTTATATATTTAGTGGTAAGTTGTAACTCATGAGTTAATTATGGATACGAATTTGTTACTACAGTTTTGTTAGGAAGACATCTTAAATAATCTGTTTTCGTATTATGAATTTATGAAAGACAATCATGCATGAATTATAAATTATTATTTATTAAATGGATTGCATAAACGCGACAAAAAAGAAAAGATAATTACTGTACAAGCAACAACACCAATGTATTTGTATTTAATTACGATTTACGATTTAACTATTTAAGATTATTCCGTTTTCGAGCGAAGCGAGAAAAAAAATTTTAGGTGGGGGAAATTTTAAATGTAAGCGGGAAATATTATATCATTGGAAGGGAATTTGAATTGTTTTAATCTGGCAACACTGTACATAAACTCGTATAAAATGTTGAGTAAAAAAAATTCATCAAACGTGTGGTGCTATTTCACTAAAAATATAAATAAACCTGACGAAGCTAAGTGTAATTTATGTCATACTGTGTACAAACATGGTCACGGTACATCAAATCTGCACGAACATTTGCGCCGTAAACATCAGTCAAAACTTGACGCAGATAAGTCTAAATTTGAATTGGACAAAGATTTAGATTTGCGATTTCAACAAGGTAAGTGATAATAAACTTTTTTAGTTGATATTTTAATTCAATTTCAATTTTGTATTTTATTTAGGAGATGCATCAACATCAACATCCAAACGTAGTTTTAGGGAAACAACTATAATGACAAACAATTCAATTAATGAAGTTCAAGTACCTGTATTGAAAAATCAAACAAAGCAATTACTTCTTTCAAAAAGGTAATTTTATTTGATTTATTTACATATTTTAGTACAAAAAAAAAGATTTTAAAATACTTTTGCATATAAATATTTATCTAACAGATTTGTATGTATTTTTTTAACCTTTTTCGTGACATTTATATCTCAGTAATTTGATGAAATAAAAAAAATAAAAAAATTCACAAATATTAATCAAAGATTCTTTATATCTTGCCCATTTTAATTAATATTAATTTATTTATTATAATCATCCTTTCTTAATACCCTTCTGCACCACAAACTATCTAAAAAATGAACCTATTACGAGAATAATGAAATTAGCCAATGAGGATCCGCTGTTCCTTTCAGTTTTACTTTTTGTATTTATTGTTTAGTTTAATTTATATTTTATACTTTGTTATATTATTCATGTTATGTTATTTTTTTATTGTATTGTATACCTAATTATTTTAACCTGGGCTCACGCCTGTTTATTCAATAAATAAATAATTAAATATTTTTTTTTTATAGATTTGGTATTCCATCAGAAAAACAAAAGACAGACTTTGTGAGATCGATTGTTGAAATGATAACTGATGATTTGCAACCACTATCGTTTGTTGAAAATAGTGGATTTCAAAACGTTATTCGATTGCTTGATTCAAGGTACTTAGAGCTTTTACCAAGTCGCCGAACACTAACAAGAAGCATCTTACCTGAACTATACTCTACTACCAAAAATAAACTACAAGATATTTTGAACAAATCAAGCTATATTTCCATTACTTCGGATATTTGGACATCATTAAATACAGATTCGTTTATGACTATTACTGTCCACACGTTTGATAGTGCTTTCGTTCTTAAAACATTTGTATTATGCACTTTAAAATTAGAAAATAGCCATACAGGGGAATATCTTAGTCAAACGTTGGAAAATATATTTAATGAATGGGGAATTAGACACAAAATTGTAACAATCGTAACAGATTCAGGGGCTAATATTAAATCTGCCGTAAACAAATTACGAATACCACACATACCTTGTACAGCGCACATATTAAATTTAATTGTTACCCAAGCTTTAGTATTTAGAAGTCCATATGTTGACAATACTGACAATGATGTTTTAGAACCTAATGAATGTCAAAATACTAAAAATCTAAATGATTTATTAAAGAAGTGTCGTTCCATTGTGACATATTTAAAAAAAAGTGAAGTTGCAAATAGGAAATTAGCCAAAAAATTAACACAGTTAGGAGCTTTAAAATTAAAACTTAAAAAAGACGTGTCAACTAGATGGAACAGTAGCCTATTGATGTTGGAAAGACTGGTCAAATTAAAAGAACCATTGACCTATGCTATGCTTTCCTTAAAAGATGGGCCTGTAATGTTAAATGCACAAGAATGGGAAGTAATAGAAGATGTTATCCCCATATTAAAACCATTTGAAGTAATGACTACTGAGTTATCAGGAGAGAACTATCCGACATTGGCAATGGTTATTCCATTAGTAAGAGGTAAGTAAGATATTCAAAAAAATTAAATAAATAATAAATAATTAAACAAATATTTTTAGGTTTACACATTTCTCTAGTATCAAAATAAATGAGAACAAACTTAGGTCAGCAACTCAAGCAAAAATTGCTGGGAAATTTAAACAGTCGTTTTAAACTCATTGAAGAGCAAAATCCTAAACCTGAGTTTTCAAGAGCGACTCTACTTGACCCTCGTTTTAAAAAATTGGCATTTCAGCATACAATTAATGCTGAAAACGTAGAAAAGAGTATTACAGATGAACTATCTTTACTTATCAGTGAACATTTGAATGGTAAGGAATTAATACTATTAATACATTTTTTTTACATAAAAAATTTTGATTAATTATAAAAATGTATGTTTTTAACATCACAGAAGAAAATTCTAATATTTCTGAAACTCCTGAAATTCAAACCATCTCTAATAATGAAGCTGTCGATTTATGGAGTTTCTTGGATGATAAACTGAATACAGAACAAACTCAAGTTACATCAGTAAGCACTGCGGATAACATTTTAAAACAATATTTCAGTCTACCACACTCCAATAGGAAATCAAAGCTAATCGATTTTTGGATCAAACACAAAATACTGTTAGGCGAATTATTCAACTTAGCATTGAAGTATTTAGTGATCCCTGCTACCTCAGTACCTTCAGAGAGAATATTTTCAAAAGCAGGTGAAATCATGTCAGCCAAAAGAAATAGAACACATCCAAAAAATTTAGATATGTTAATATTTTTAAACAAAAATTTAAAACAGTTGTAAATTTGTATTTATTTTTCCTAGTAATGTTTATGTTTTTTGTTATATTATTATTATTTTTGTTTAACTGTTGAATTAAAGAGTAATTCATGCTAGTTTGCATTGTTTGCAATCAGTCCAATAAAAATCAGTTGAATAATAAAAATAAGTCAAATTGAATAATGATAATAAGTTAAAATTAATCAAATATTCAAATAATAATAATTAGTCGAAAATAAGTCGAATAATAATAATTAGTCGAATAATAAAAATAAGTCGAAGAATAATAATAATTAGTCGAATAATAAAAAATGTTCGAGTAACTAAATTAGTCATATGGTACTACCGACTAAGGCGGTAGTAATTAGTCACTTTTGGCCATCACTAGTCACAGATTGATTTTGTATCGCTGGCTGCATCGTATTTTTCATTCCAATATGTATGGTAGTAGCTTTATTAATAATTTTTTTTTTTGATTCTGTAAATGAACTATTATTTAAGAATCCATATTTTTTAAATCTCGGATCCAGTATAGTAGCTTCTGCATAAATTTGTATTTTTTCAATTGACCCAAATCTCTGTTCTACCTGTTTTAATGTGGATATCATACTAGTTAATTGTTGTGAATCATAAAACTGTGTATCCAAGTATGTACAATGTTTAAGAAGTGCTCGACTAAATACAACAGATTTTGAAATAGAAACCGAATTGTCACTACTTATTTCTACAGTAATTTCATTAAAATATTTTAATACTTCACAGGACTTGGAAATAATGTACCAGTCTTCATTGGTCAAGAAAAAACATTATAATTACTTTTTTTCCTTACGAATTAAAAAAAACCATTAATATAGACCAAATCAGTTAATTAATAAAAACATACTATGGTGGGGCGATAGCCCCCCCCCTAGAAATACACTCTTGCTTTTTCCAAGTACTTTAAAAAAAAAATAATCATAATGTCATAACCAAATTAAATACACAGTATGTGACCTTACTGTGTTTTACTTTTTTTTTTGTTTGAACAGAAATGTAAGTAGGGGAGAGCGGGGTAATAAGAAATTGGGGTATTAAGAGAATTAATTCCAAACAAATCATATTTTGTATCAATATGTAATATTTAGGCACAAACAGGTAGTAGGAGTATTGAACTATATTCTAGAATAGTTTGAATTGTTTGAAATGAATCAATAAAGTATAACCTCAAAAAAAAAAATATTATCAAAAACGTTTGATAACAATTTGTTATCATAATTCATCTGAAATTTCGTTTTTTTTTTTTTTTCGAATCGGAAGTGTTGAGTAAGTATTTATTATTGTTTTTTATTTCTATAGTTGTATTTTTAAGTTAAAATAATGATCAAGATTGTTAATATAACAATTTTCTGTTGAAAAAAAGTAAATTTCTTATTACCTCTATATATTTTTAAAATGTGGGGTAATAAGAAACTTCAAAATATTTTATTTTGTTAACGATTTTTTTTTTTTTTGATCTTAGAACATGGTCCGTAATTATATAAAAAAAAACCTTAGGGTTAATTACTCATTAGATGATTTGAAAAAAGCTGTTGATGCAGTTCAGTGTCAAGGAGCCAATAACCTAACCAATAAGCAAAAGTAAATCAAAGTATGTACCAATAGATGATGAGTCTGATGATAGTTCTCTCTTTGAAGAAGATAATAATATTCCAGCTAAAAAAATTAAGTTTAAAAATGGAGATTATATTAGCTCATCTGGTTCTGAGTTAGAAATTGAAAGTGATGATCAATCTATTGATGAAAAAAAATTAAAAATTGATATTAAACTTGAAAGTTACTATGCAATTTATTATGAAGATACTTGGTACTTAGGACGTGTTATTGATTTTTGGGATGAAAACAAAACAAAAATTAAATTTATGAAAAAAGATCTTGATAATTATATATGGCCAAGAAAAGAAGATATTCATACTGTTGAAAATAGATTTATTTTTTATGGACCTATTGACTTAGTTGGCAACTATCCATTTAAAGTTAAAAGATCTGATGGTTTAAGAATAATTAAAGAATATAAGAATCTAAAAAAGAAGACTTAAATAATTTGAAGACTGAAAATTACTCTTATTATATATTACCTATACATTAAGATTAAGTTATATCTTAATTTATTATTTTGATTATTTTTATTATATTTTGTTAAAATTATTAGGAAGGTACCTATAAGTTTGTTATTTTATTTATCTATTGTTTTCTACCAGTTAAGTATTTACAGCTGAAATAATTTATATTACCTACTTTCAAGACTGAAAATTCTAATAAGTAACTAAAAGACTAGTTATAAAAATTTAACTGTTATTTATAATATATTTAATGCTTTGTTGTGTTATGTTATGATTAACCTAAGAAATGTTATTCCTCAATTTATATATTTATGTACTAAATAAATAAAAAAGTGATATTAATGAGTCAAATTATATTTTTTAAATAGTTATACCTAGGTATAGAGGGTATTTTGAATTAAAATTGGTAATAAATTTAAAAGTTGATGGTTAGGTACTTAATAATAAAAAGTAACAACTTCAGTTGCTTATTACTAGTATACCTTACTATAGTTATAATGCACTTTTATGAACTATATTAATCAATTATAGTTTTTCATATTCAGTGTTTAATTAAAAATACAATACTTTAGATAAAAAAATGAAATATTAGATACATACTAAACTTAATATAAGCTTTCTCTTATTACCCTTGAAAATGTCATAAGGCTTTATGTAGCAGAAATAAATATTTATTTCTTATTACCCCACTGGGGGTAATAGGAAAATTATTTCGGGTAATAAGAGAATTTTTTTTTTAAAATAAAAAATTGTACCATTAACATTAATTACAGATCAGTATGGTTGATTATAATAACGTATTTCATAAGAAAAATATATATAATAAATAGCATGTTAATTAAGTAAATTAAAAATTAAAAATTTCTTATTGCCCCATTTTTTTCTTATTACCCCGCTCTCCCCTAACCAAATTAAAAACACAGTAAGATCACTTAGTGTTTTACTTTTTTTTCAATGGTTCGTAAATGTAGGAAACAAATTTTATAACACATTTTTGCACTTTACACAAGGACTTTAATGTCCTGAGGAATATTATTGATACATTAAATATTCAATACCTCTTTGGTATCTTAAAATAATAATTGCTTACAAATGAACGCCATCTATAGGAAATGGAAAGCAACTTCACTAATCTGCTTCTCCTGAACAATTTTGTGAAATGCACATACTGTGTTTCATGATTAGACAGCCGTGTTGATATTCTTTACTAGTCTTTTAATTTTAAAAATAGGTATAGTTACATACTTAATAACTATTTTATGTTCCTAATCGAGTACAAAGTAAGTACCTACTGAACTAAATTTTAAATGTGTTCCCTTGTTATATCTAAACAGAAAATTTACATTTTAATTTTAATTTTTACATATTAATTTGTTACTACATTTTAATTTGTACCTAGGTATTGTTATAATTTCTTTTTTGTTAATTAGTTATCTAAATGTTGTTACTATTCAAAATTATTTAATATTTAATACTTTCAAAATTACCATAATAAAGGAAATACCTATAATATTATATAAGATGTTCAATAAACTATTTCATTTGATCTTATAAAAACTATTTTATTTGTATTTTTATAATTCTGGCCATAAATGGGTGGTATTTATGATGGCCATAGATGGAGTTTGTTGGCCATAAAAGGGAGAAACTGATACTTTTATTACCAACATTTTATTTTTGCCCCTATATTTTTGTAAAAAATCTATAACTGTGACCCCACAATAAGCAAGTCTTAATCTATAGGTTCTCAAATGGTGATTGCTTAGCTATTAACTGGCAATGTGTTAACATTTAATTTGGGCGCATAAATTGTTAAAGTGGCCATAGCTGGTGACTCCACCATACCTATTTTATATCTGGCCACCCAACGACATGATACATGAACAATAATAATGTTTTATAACGTATGACCTGATCGTGGCACAGAGATCCAATACTTGTTATGTCTGGTGCAAGCTGGAAACACGCAATCGAGATTGCTCTTCACATCCCGGCGACGACGACATGGTGGAACGTCTCAACGAACTCCCTTGGTTACACAACGGCGTCACACGATCCACGAGGTGCACGACTCAGACACACAGGAATCACAACTAGGACACCGATAATTGTTGTCAAACGGACGAGGACGGCGTACGCGTACGGATTATCGTCAACGCCTAGACGACACAAGGGCCAGTCAAGACCACGTGACTTGTGAGTACAGCAAAGCGACGCAATCACGAGGGTGGACCACACGAATCACGACGACGACGTTAATAACTCAAAGCGAGTAGTCGGGTAAAAAACAAGGCGCTTAAAGAACGACGACAAGTACACGCGCGATTTGGACGGCGAACGGAACTGAGCAAGCGTCCGCAAAGTGCAAACAGCAATATTCAATGCAAATAATGGCCAACGCGACGGTCGAGTGACAACCGGCAAGTGGCCACTGGCCAGTAGCCAACGGCATAGCCGCTTGGCGCTTGGGCACGGCCGCGCGCGGGACTGCCGTGATAGAAATAACTTACTAGGTATGACAGCGACTAACCGATTATGGCAGTGAACGGCGCAGTCATGGAACTAATAACAAAACATTATTTTTTCCATTGAAATATGACGTCAGCTGCCAGTGAAGATGTTTCAATCACTTTGCGCGGCATTATTCAAATCTAACACATATTATTTTTTTGGAATATATAAATTACTATTTGCCTAAAATTTGTCTACTTATTTTATTGACGAAGTCTTTTACTTAGATATTATAATATAATTTCCATAATAAACTCCTGCATCAGTGGTCGAAATGGCTCGTGGAGGGATGCCTTACAATTCAGATTTAGGCATATACGAAAAAAAAAAAGTTTTCTTATACATAGGTATAAATATAAAAATCATAATAACTATTTCATTTTAAAACACAAGTCTTAGGAGGAATGCGTTATTCTAGACAAAATAAGTAGAGGGATGAAAAATGTAAATACAAAAAAGTAGCGGGATGTCATCCCTCCGTATCCCCCCCCCCACACACACACTTCGACCACTGAATATGCATATCACTCAGAATGAAGAACTCTATATACTTTACATGTGTAGCATAACAATCTTAAATTATTTTGGAATTTGTATTTTGATAAACATAATTATGTTAATATTACCATTACTGAAATTAAAATATCTAAAAATAAATAAGCTTAAGAAATATTATTAATATTAATAGTGTATATTACAATAATGTGTACGAGTAGTGATGGCAAGAGGTTAGTCAGCAGTTCAGCAAAAATATTAATATTAATTTTTAATATGGTATGTGATACATATTTCTCTTATGTTTTATAGGACTTATAAGTAACTGGAAGCAACCAATGTTTTATGACTTTGACACACCTATGACTACTGAGATACTCTTTAAAATTATTGCTTGGGTTCATGAAGTGGGATTTGAAGTAGTTGCTCTTGTCAGTGACATGGGTCCAACTAATATTGGCTTATGGAAGTCATTAAACATAACACCATCATCACCTTCATTCATAAATCCAGTTACACTTAAGAACATACATGTCTTTGATGATGTCCCTTGACTATTAAAATTGATTAGAAATCATTTTATTGATATTTATATTTTCAAATAATACATATATTGGAAGGCAAATTATTGAAGAATATTTAAGTACAACAAAAATCTCAGATTTTAAATTGGAATATAAAATTACAGAGAAGGTACAATTTCCTTTGAATATATAAAAAAGCATAATGAAATACAGCAAAAAGAAAATTTAAAATTTGCTAATAAACTAAGTTCTTTACATGTATTCTATAAGTCTGAGAAAATGAATGTTCAATTAGCTGTCCAGGTTCTTAGTAGCAGTGTAGCAGATGCATTGCAATTTTTACAGTCATATGATGAAAATTTAAAAAATGCTACTGCCACTATTCAATTTATTAGGATTTTTGATAGGCTCTTTGATCTTATGAATGCAAGAAATATTTTTGGAAAAGGGTTTAAATCTCCTATGACTTTGGGTAATCAATATGTTTGGGAGGAAATACTAAAGGATGCTAACACTTATATTTTGCAATTAAAATGTGAGGAGAAAAGTATTTTACATCGTTGAAAAACATTTGCATTGGGTTTCCTTATTAATATTATGAGCTATAAAAATTTAGCTCTCGATTTACTTAAAAAAGAGAATGGTCCATTGAGTTACTTCCTACCTTATAAGACATCACAAGATCATGTGGAAATTACATTCTCGTGCATAAGGTCAGCTGGGGGATGGAACAATAATCCTTCCGCCTTATAATTAAGATGGTGTATAGTGTATTCGTAAAATTGTATACAGAAATTCAGTATCATCAATGTTGTAAAGTATTTGAGTAAAAGTATTTGAGTAAAAGTATTTGAGTAAAAGCATTTGAGTAAAAGTATTCAAATACTTTTTTCCGTATTGAATACTTTTTAAAATACTTTTATTTTTGAAGTATTTGAAAGGTATTTTAAATAAATTTTTTTATTATTGAATACTATTTTATTGAATACTTTTTTATTCCTTTAATGCTTAATTCATTGTCAAATAATAATAATGTCAAAATAATATTATATATATTTATCATTTATGAACA